TATTTAAGACTCAAATTAAATATTTAGCTTGTTAACTAAATATTTAATTTGTAAGTTAAATATTTAGTTTATAAATTATAACATTTACAAATGTATGAGTCATATGGTGAAAAACTGACTCTGAAAAATAAATCTGTTGTTTTTATCTTATAAAAGGCTAAATAAAACAAAAAATTTGATAGTAATTTTTGACTGTGTAGCTTTACTAACGGCACCCCATACAAATGGCTCTAGATTCACTTGTGTCTTCTTGTTTTTGTCTCCTGGTTCAGGCAGAGTGGAGACGTTGGCCCACAGGATGCCAGAGGGGGGCTGCTTCCAGCTGGTCTCATGCCCACATTACTTTGCAGAGCTGCTGATCTACGTCTCACTTAGCTTGGTCTTTGGTGGCCTCTCTTTGACCTGGTGGCTTGTGGTCCTTTATGTGCTGTTCAACCAGGCTCTGGCAGGGCAGCTGAGCCATGAGCTGTACATCAGCAGGTACAAGTCCTACCCAAAGTGTAGAAGAGCCTTCATACCTTATGTGTTCTGAGTCTTTTTACTGTATTTAGTGGTAATTATCAGGATCCGTTAAAAAAAAAAAAATAAAAGTTTTCGGCCTTAACAAGATGATTTTGACCAAATGAAGCTCGCTTCTCAAGAAAACCACTGAAAATTTTCAAAGCTCCTGGTGAGATGTGAATTATTTGTCAGACTGATTTATAAAGACATAAGAGATGTCACTTTTCTTTATACATGTTTTTGTCATAAGTACTTTTAAGATATGACTGTTTTCACTACTGTGTCTTGTGTAGTGTAATTATTAATATGATTGAAATAAAGTGATTCCAGTTTAATCTGTATCTGTGTGTGTTTATACATACTACATACAGTGGATCATTTTCACAGTACTTGCCAACAAAATGAGTCATTTGTGGAAAGTGAGGACATTTTCTTGGTCCTCACTTTTTTTTGCAAATCTACTGCACTCTACTAGTTGTACGGAGCCCGGGAGGGGACATGGGGGATTTTTTTTCTTTTGCGTTCCCACNTGTGATAAATTTCCCCTAATAATAAATAGAAAGTCTCCCTCTACATCAAACACCTGTGCTGGGGGGACAAATTTGTAAACTAATTAGTATAATTCTTGAACTGATGTCAGGGACCACACAAAATCAGTTCAGGGGCCACAAATGGCCCCCGGGCCACACTTTGGACATCCCTGCTTTAAAGTGAAAAGTTTTGAAAACAACAAAACTGTTTTGTCTTATTGCACAAATTAAAATCCAGCTCCATGTGTTTCTATTGATGTCATTTCCCTGTTAGAAAAACTGTGATGGAGGTCCATGAAGGTAAATAAGTTTAAATCAAATAAACAAAAGAGGATGCAGTTAAAATAAATAAAAGMTATTGAAGCAACGTTTTGAACATCCAAAACACTTCAAGCTGGCTGCTTGTGCTCTTTCAGGTCAGACATGTTCAGACTGTCAGGAAGTGCCTCTGTTGTTTTCCTCTGTCTGTCTCTGTTTAACGGTGGATGAAATAAAGAAAGTGGAGGTACTTTATTTACTTTGAGCAAGTGAACGTCATGCTCACAAGATAATTAATCCACCAGATAATTCAGAGGTGGTCTGTTTGGTGAGTTTTACTCCAGGAGCTGCGAGGCTTTCAAGCTAGGTTCAGATTGAACTGTTTACTGAAGCAGCGGCTGCTGACGTCATTACACTCTTGCGTGATGCTGCGTTCAGGACAAGCATGGAAAACTCACCACTCTTACMCCAATACGGTCYCAATGCTGCYTTCAGGACAAGCATGGAAAACTCACCACTCTTACGCCAATACGATCGCAATGATGCGTTTAGGTACCGAAACATGGTACTGTTTGATGTTACGTGAACAGGTTCTGGGTAGTACAGACAGAATTCGGTCTGTACCGTATTTTTCGGACTATAAGCCCCCCCCCCAAAAAAAAATAAAAATAAAAACAGTACACCCAAATTTGCCGTCAAAAAAGTGAACTCAACATCAAAACATAAAAAGCAAATCTTTAGGAATTAAAGTTCGGAGGAATACGATTCATTTAACTGACCTTATTTTGGTAGTTTTCTTTAACAGTTTCTGGTCCAACAAAACGTCTCATTCATCGTCCTCCGGCGCACTGAAATCATCGAAGTCCTCCTCTTCAGTGTCGGAGTTAAACAAGCTGAGAAAAGCTGCGTCACACAGTGG